GTGCGTCGTTGAGTAGACGGATCGACGATCGCTATTAAGATTCGAGGATGGACGTGACGTCCTTAAACGAGCTCGGATCTCGGAGCGCGTGCCGACACATCGGTCGTTGTACGGACACACTTAATAATACGTGTCGGACGATCGCGGAGGAAACGTTGCCGGACACATCGCGAGTCCACGTAAGAGGCCTGTGTTCGTACAACGAGTGACTCCGATACACCCAGGGCCGGTTGTTTCTTATTGTTTACCCTATATGTCCCCGGAAGCAGGGCCAATCCGCCGGAAAGACGAGACCGTTAACCCGCACGATCCCGAGACCTCGCGGCCGTGCATGCCAACTCTGCATTATTGGCTTTTTGTATGCTTATGTTAAGCGACCGCCACGCACGCTCGAGCATAATGCTCTCGGATCCTTGGCACACACCTATAGTCGATTTTCCACGCCGCTATCGGATCTATCTCTCGGCTTCCGTTCATCCGCTTTTCCAGGAGCTGCGAGGGCGGCTCACGAGTGTAGACGCGAGGTATCCATAGAAAATAATAACTGGCAGCGTTGGTATTGCTGGTTCGGGGATTGGAAGGTTAATAAAATTGGTGCAGTTTTGACAAATTTGGAAAGACCATGCATGTATTGTAAGTGAAGTGTCTGATTATTTTGTTAAACTAACTCTGAAGTATGAAGCAACGCAAAGACAAACATACACATAAATGCACAATTGTAATCGTACCAGTGCATCATGTTGAAAGTTCGCTATACGAAATTTCATATTTTCTTGCATTCCTATATGCACAGAATTTGTTCGAAAGATCAATGGTATCGATGTCCCACGCGTAGAAGAAACCGTATCATAATTTACGACCAGAGAGCGTAAATGTCCACGAGATCCAATATGGAAATGACCACGAAATTCGTTCTTCCTTCTGATCTTGATCACACTAATTTTCCCCAGACACTGCTCGAATTCTAGATAAGCTCGAGTATGCATAGTTACTCGTATAGATACTCGTCTATGTAGCTTCTAACAATCCTGATGTAAAATTCGAATAAAATTCTCTTGCAAAGTTGAAAAAGTTCTCGTGCCGTAGGTTTTATTATTCGCGGAGAAAAAAGCTTCGATAACGTATCGGTCGACCGCGACAAATAGTCGCGTGTGCAAATGATTCGCCAAAGGGACGAAAGAACGTCGCTTATCGTGTAAATGTTATGTTCCTCGCGTCTGACAACACGTCGCGGTTTCATTAGCATCGTGATACCAGCTACGACTCGTACATTCGTCGCTCGGAATAACGTTACTTTGGAATACATTTGAATACACCGGCGCAAAGGCGGCCATCTCCAATTTCTGATCAGAGTATCCCACTGACTCAAACAGAATTAAGAAGTTTATTTTATTTCCAGGAAAATATTCACTTCTAGTATCGAGATCTTGCTCCCTGTCTTCAATTCTCGTTGCCGATGCAAAAGTGATTTTCTCATCGATTACATTTTCCAACAGCTTACAATCGCATCCTTACATTTTGATGATCGTATTCGGAAGGTTGGAATAGACCACGCTTTTTTTCTTTCTTTAAATTCATACTGTACTCTCAAAATAATACACGGTGTTGAAAGTTACTCGCGATATTCCTGAACGAATCGATACCCTGCCTCAACCTGTGAATTGTTGTTTAATACCCCTCGACAACCACAATGGTTTTCACAGTCTATGACAATGTGAATTATGAAAACTGATAGCTTTACTTGAGTATACACTCGGTAACCATTTCACGTTAAAGATGTTAATTGTCACCTTTATGGGTACAACGATAAGACACCCTGTGTAACGGCCGAGGCCATTTCAAACTGACTGTGTAGTTAAAAAGGGAAACGACAATGAAAATAAATTGCGAGTAATTTAGATATGCGCAGGAACAAGAGAGCCTCCTAGAGTTTGAATTGTAAAAGTTTACCGTTACCCATGAACCCACCTGACTCGTCTGATATTCATTCCCAGCAAAATTAGAGTAAACGGCTAATTAATTATAGAGTCCACGCGACGATCGTTAGCGAAAAAGAAATCGTATGCATTAATCGCGTGGGAAACATGATTTATGAAGCTTCTGTGCAACAATTATTGGTAATTGATGTGCTCGATGTTCGGGTAATTCGAGTATGGTTTTTACACTTCACTATCTTACAGACTGATCGATGATGAAAATTGATTCTTGTTATATAAAACTGATTGAAAAATATGCAGTTTGCTCGTCTAAAAATTAATAAATAAATACGAAATTGGAATTTGCTAGCTCCGTACCAACCAGTCCACGCTATGAGCATATGTCGATGTTCACAGGTTCACAGTACTTTGATAGAATGAACTATCTACCCCCGCTCTTTGTTGTGATACTGGCAGGTGCATCCCCGATCTTCCGGTAATTGTTGCCGTCGCAGTTCCGGTTTGGACCGGCGGTAGGTCTCCGTAAAGGAAGACCCGGTGCGCGAAGCGACTAGACCGAATGGATGCTAAGCAAGCTGTAGTACCCGATCGCTTCCTTGCATACGAAGCAGTCTCCGCCGGAAGTGCGTCACGCGGCACCGTAGATTCCACGAGGTGACCGACGACGTCGACGTTTGCCGACCACCAGGTCGACTGGATACGTGACCACGGCCAGTGTTTCGTCGGACCAGATAACGAATGTTAGGTCTGGCTTATTTTACTCCTTTTTTACACTTTATCTTACGTTGATTTTCTAACATTTACACTTAATTTTGCTTTTCCTAAAGAGAGACATGCCAGTGACTAAACCGTCCATGTATCATTACTTGACGACAGACGTCGTACTCAAGCTGTCGATACATGTAACCTGCTCATGAAACTTTCATTTTATATTCTTCTTCATAACAAATACATTAATATCATCGCATATTTTTTCTTACTTAACGAAACATTTATTCGTGCTTCTTCATCCTGAACTATTTTTGAACGAAAGCCATCAGGAATTCAATTACCATCAGAATTACTTAAAAAAAAAAGTGATGGGAATTGCCGATACGTTGCCACGGTCACTTTATCGTCCCCAGATTAATTATGCTTGTCAGAAGGAAAACGTATACGTCAAGTGTACACTTTGTATATACCGAGAGCGATTTCTTCGAGTAGAGATCGTGGTACTGTGTTTACGAAATTCGAGCACGGAGATTACGGGGTTCATTTGCAGCCGCGGGTATCGCGTTTCCTGAGAAAGTAGCTATTTGGATTTGTGCAATCGGTTGCGGGCTGTCGTGACGAATCGCGTAGGGTAATCCAAGTCGCAAACGTGGGAAATTGTGAGGTTTTTAATGCTCTGATCTCCGCAGATTGCAACACTAATTTTGACCCTTGCATTTCGTACTCATTATAGAAACCTAATTGTAATTAATCCCTGTAAATTTCGTAGAGGAAATTCTACGAGTTTGCTTAACGAAATTTTGATCTAGGAGTATCTAATAAGGCTGTAGATTAAATCACTTGTTCCTTAATTTCAAAAGGAATTAATTTAAAGAAAGTGTTCGAGAGATGTCCCCTTATATTTTATTTTCATAATATATGATTCATCGAAGAGTAGAACTTTAAAACAAATGTTCTGTAATTTTGGTTACGGAATTTCGCTTTTAAGGAAGTAGAATACGAAAATGACAGCGTACGAACACAGAGACCTCGAGTCATATCTCTATAACCATGTCCCCAAGTTGTTATTACGATACAACAACTCGTTAATGTAAATAGCGACCTGTCGGCACATTTAGAATTGTACATATACACATTTCGATCCTGTGACACGAACGGTATCGCACAATTGCATTCTAAACAGCTCTCCAATGGCGAAACCCACATGCTTACACCGAATCAGATTTGTAATAGTATCCAAGCTTACTCGTGAAAACTTTTTTCTTTCGCGCCATAATTTCACTCGTAATAATATTTTTAGCGTATCGATAATCACTTATTCAGTAAACATACCGAAGGCACATGCGCTCAAAGATTCGGCCACATGTGCCTTCGATGGCCTTGATTCTTCAGTCTGCAGGCTTCTTTATGCAACTTTTTCCGTATTCCCAGTCTCTGTTCATAATTTCCTGCAATTTTCAAATTGATCCTAACCCAACATATCGTCGATAACTCGTTCACGAATCGGCTCTGACATGTTCACGATCGAGAAGACGAAAAAAAATGGAGCGTGTAAAAATTGAAAAGTCCAGTGACGCGGATATGATGACTAATTAGCGTGACTTTGATCCCACCTTCCCAGGCGATGGCGATGCTCCGAATTTCTAATCTCGACCGCGGCCGATATACGATTCCGATTTATCAAAACGGGAGAGACCTTTCACCGATCGCATCGTGACACGCGTTGACCGATTCTAGCGCGTTGCGCGAGAATAAAAACACCCAAGGCGACAGTCCCGGGTCAACGGAGCGCTAATTTATTGGAATGTTTATGTGTTTCTCGCGCGCGTTATCTGGCCGTGTGGCGCGCGGGCACATCGACCACGACCGATCGAGAACAGAGAGTAAGTAAAAGGGGACCCGTTCCCCGTTATTGCCGCCATGAAGGCTTACGTACGTGAAAACAGGAGCGTAGATTCGGCGCGTGTGTCGTGGAGGCGAGAGATAATTTACAAAACCGACGAGAAAAACTTTCCGCGCGATGTCACATCGCGATGACTAATCCATCGAACGTTCGATTGGCGCTTCTCGCTGTGACGAAGCAAAAATGGGAAGGAAGCTAGCTATTGGGCATATAGATCACACCCGAGGAAGATAGTTTCCGTGGAACAAATTTTCGAGGTGGTATGAAGGCCATCTTATTTTTTAGATGTCGTATCAGTTGATTCTTCACAATTCTTTGGTTCCTTGGAAAACGTTGATACCTTCGGAAATTCTTAGAGGTCTAAAATTGAAACTGTACTCAGCTTCTCGTTTTCTTAAACTCGCGATTCCTGTGTCGTGACGAATCGGAAAAATATTTTGAAAACTCACCCATTGAAGGGATAGCTGGCGAAAGCGGCGTCGTAAGGATGGTACACGGATGGATAAGGCCACGCTGCGGCGGCTCCAGCCCCGAGATTTTCCTTCAGATCAAGGCCAGCAGCCTGCAATCGAGATTATGTTTGTTAATTACACTCGTCAATTATACTTCTTAATAACATGACAGCGCGTTGCGCGGGCAATTAGCGCGGCGTATACAAGAAAGGCAGGAATTCCACGATGTTAGATTAGTCGCGAGGTCTTTAAAAAACGAATGAAATCGCATAACTCTCGTGCGACTGCAATCGCTATAAAAAAAAAAAAACAAACAAACATCAAAATGGTTGCTCGATGAATTCGCGACATTCTCCAATTTGATGGCTCTCGTCGAAATTAAATAAAAAAGGCAAAGACAGTTTGAGCACGTTTCAACGTTGCTTTTAAATTTTCAGTGCTTATACGCTATAAATATTTTACTGGTCTGCAAGCATTACATTGTTATTGTTTTATAGATAGTTACAGAACAGTTTAGCGTTAATAACGTATTATTATACGAAAGTGAAGTAGCAAAGCATACACATTAATATGTGCTCGAATACACGAGGTTGCTCGAGTCCGACTTCGAGCACTTAAGTCCTGCTAGTAAATAGTTTATATTTATCGAAAATAATGGATTCCACGATCATTTTCAACGTAAAAGGTCGTCCTCGACCATACCACAAAATTATTTCATCATCTCCAAAAGAGCAACTTTATCGTTTTCCCCAGCAGCAAGAATCGAGTTTGAAATTTGTTTTTAATTAACGTTACGTGTCGTCGATAAGCAAACCACCGCGATCGGCGCGCTCGCAGCGATCGATCGCCGGAAAAAACCATTTTTCGAAGGATGTGGCAATTAATTGACGTCGTTTCGCCTGGCTGGATCTTTAATTCATCGCCGGTAATGAGAAAAATAGCTGGAAAAGCGGCGATAATAATAATTGGAATCAACGTGTGCCTGGTCTTGTTTGTTTCTCTAACCCGTAACCCCGTCTCCGTACGAGCGGCGTTTAAGCTTCCATCAACCGGTAGAATAATTGAACCATAGAATCAGCCCGTCCCATACTCGTTACCTCGTATCGTTCTCTCTCGCCTCTTCTATATGCATTAGTCTTGCATTAATGGCATTAATTATACACCGTTTTCGAATCGCGTAGTCATCGTCACCCGACTGTAATTAGCAGTCGAAAATAGTGGACGTTGCGCGGTGATCGTTCGAGGGAGAGTTCACGGATTTACCTCGATGGCGGAGTTGAGTAATGCGCGGAATAAAATTCTCCGGAAAAATGTAAAGCGTTCGGGAACACTAGGGAAAATTGCCGCTCGACGTTACCGCCGTGTTCGCGGTGTAATCGAACGAACGACTCTCGGCCCGCTTCGGTGGAAAAAGGCTAAAATAAATCTTCGCAAAAACGTTTTACGTTTTAAATTCTATTACATGCAAAATGACGACAAAGAAATGTTAGTGTATTATTTTTTTTTACGCAACGACTTCATAGACAACGCAAAGAGCGTTCGCTTCGACGTGGAACAATTCCATAACCGCGAACGGAAATGGGCAAAAATGAGGAATCGATATTTCGGGAGCGACGTGGCGGAAATCGTGGGGGGTCGAGCGTAAACGTTGCCACTAAAAACGATGCTTAACGACATTCTACGCGAATACCTACGGAGGTACTCCACCAGCGGGGACAACCTGTGCAATCTGCTGCCTCGTTACGAGGCTATACGCTCGTCCCTTAAGCTCGATCATAAAGAGCGACGATAACAGGCGAGTCTCGGCGACGGCTCGAACACGACAGTGTCCCACTGTTACCGCGGGACGGATTCATAAATTTACGCTTCGCGGCTATTTTCTTCGTGTATGCGCTTTGTGTGTGGTCCGATAACCTCTCCCGTTTGAACGAATACACGCGAACATCACCAACCTGGACCTTCAGCCGCGATAACATCTCGATTATTGTATAATGCATCGCGCATGCGCTCCAAGAAGCACCGCGAATTTCATCGAGGCCAGGGATCCGAAGATGGGCAATACTCGAACTCGACGAGCTTGATATCTGCTTAGAACAACGCGTTGGGCAATCGACGATCGCCCTCTTATCGCGGCGACGCAAGATAACCGGCCGATTCCGCGAGGCATCTCGAGGGGGCCTTCCAAATTGATTTCCTTTCCTTTGCGTTGAAAGGAGATTCTATTATTTAAAAACGGACGTTTGCTAAGGATGCGGTTGTCTTAGACAGCGACACCTCCGATAAGGTCAGGTGAACAAATTTGCCATTTTAACTTGCACGACGTTGTGAATATTTGTGGGAAGAGGTAAAAATACCAAGATCGAAACATGTTTGGAAGAAAGTGATGTTGGAGGGATGGGATGGATTCTCAGGGGTTGTAGCATGCGGGTACGCTACGGTACGGGCTTAACGATCCCGAGGTACCCGAGTTAGAAGGGGGCTAGTGGGCTAAGAAGTTAAAAATTTATGTAAATAATGTAAACGTGATATCGTCAATGATCTCTTCATAATAAAAAGAACAAAAATTTGATAATAACAAAAAAATCGTTCCTGAAGAAGTTAAAGAAATCTGTCTAAATTAAATGATAGGTTTGATATTTTCAAACAAACGTTTCATTATAAATATCTACATGAATGAACTTTACACTTGTATGTATTAACAATGAAATATTTATTTGAAAATAGCAAACCTATCGTTTAATTTATACAGATTTCTTTAATAGACATAGAAGGTACGAATATCTATGGGACTGATTGTATGTGCAAGACTGGACTAATACGTACAACAATCAAATCTTCCTAAGATTATCTATCCGATAAACTATCTATTAAGCTGAAACTGGGATGAGATGGTGACCAATGTAATGGGAATGGCAATACAACTAGAACCCTGGTTGAATAGCAGGCATTTGTCTATCACCGAAATTTATCGCGACAGAAGCGGTAATGGAGCGAAAGCGATCCTTCTTCGAGTCCTCGCGAATGCAGTAAAAGTAGCTTTTAAGACTGCCCGAGGAACGAGTGAAACACCTAGCGCACGAACGTACAGTGTGCCATTGCAGCGCACTGCGTTGACGTTTATTAGGCGGTAACGCTCGCGCGAGCCGTGATAGCATAATTAAACACAGCACAGCGAATCGACGGAATACTGCGAAGATCCGGTAGATAGAGAGCTTAGTTGGGAAATAATGCACCTGCCGCGCGGTTCTCCGCGCCATTAATTTGGGAAATCAATTCTCCGTTCGAATTATCTGTATCGCAGTCGTTGGGACTAGCTACCTCGCGAGTGTTATTATGCGCGTTATCGTCTCGTTGCTTGGAGTCTGATGCAAAATCAGAAATTTTATGGGATCCACGGTCCTTTATCTTAAAACGATGCCCGTCGAGCGTGCAGCGAAATGAATTACTTGTTCGTTCTCTCTTTAATTTATAAACGTGCCGTTTCTATCGCCAATTAGAGAGCGTGGGTAATAAGAAGAGGTGAGAAAATCGCGGCTACTATGTGAATTGAAATTAGCTATGTACTGTATGAATGTAATTTCTTAAAAACATAAAGAATTTAAATATTTTTAGGTGATCCTGACATCCTATCTTGAAAGTTGGAAATGTTTCAAAGTAACATTTCTAATCCTCGGCACCGAGTTCGTTTCGATAAAGCAGCAGATTCCAATGCAACTTAATTCCACCCCCAGAAACGTATCTTTGCTTACGTTGTTTAAACCCAACCATCCGTTTAAATTGCAAAAATGAAAGAAGACTTACCGTAGGCGTGTAGAAGGGTGCTTGCTCGGCACCCAGGCTCGGGAAGTACGCGGCCATGCCCTCGGAGGCGGCAGCCGCGGCCGCAGCCGCATACGGCGCGCTGTACATGGAGAGGGCGGCCGTCGGGAGGGCTCCAAGTCGCTGATAACCGCCGAGCAGCTCGTACTGGCAGGAGCATACCGTTTGGCCCGTCAACGGGTCCGTGAAGATCGGTCTTCCGGTGTCGCAACACCTTCCGGTCGGCGCCGGGCCGCCGGTCGTCGGCGGCGGGTGTCCTTGGGACGGACTGACCGAGGTGGTCGGGCTGCCTGGCGGCCGAACCACCGCGCTGGTCACCGCCATCCTCGCGTTCGACAGACCGGCAGCTACGCCCAGGGGATGATTCGTGGTCGTGCCTGCTACGCTCACCAGCGACGAACCGCTTGCGCTCAGGATTGCACCGGATACCGGCGAGGCCGAGGACGACGCCAACGACGAGCTCACTGTCACAGGACACTGGAACAATCATTTCATTCACGTTATTGGGAGCCAAGATCTAAATGTGACTTGCAAATCATCGGAATACGATGTACGCTTGGAGTATGACAGAGAGGAACACACCTCAATCGTGTGGATAGAAAGTAATTAATGGGCACGATTTGATCTTCTTTGCCTCGCGGCACTAGCTAAAGGAAACAAGCTTATAAAATAATCTCAAACATTCACGGCACAGTGTAGCATAATATACACCAAGATGATTAAGAGTCGTTAATTTAATGCGCCGCATAAACAGTGTCCATTGTAATACTTTAATACGTCCCGTGGCACATGAGTCATTGATCAACCACGATGTTCGTTAGAAATGTACTCCCACGAATCTTAGTATAAGGTACAGGGAAAAGAAGATGAGCACGGTTAAAGGATTAAATTTAATCGTAAATAATGCAATGATGAATCAAGTTTTCCAAGGGGTGCGCAAATGTATAGACACCCTGTACTCCAAATAGGGCCTGGCACAATTCATAGTCGCTAAAGCTGCCTTAATTGGACACTTAATTACGATCCATTGCAGCACCTAGGCAATCTTAAAGCGTCAGCGCGATGAATGGTGATCATTGATTGTTTCATAAGCATCGCACTATTAACTCGAAGGTAAGCTCGAACAAAAGATTTACCGCTACCTCAAAGGCTCTCAGTTTAAAAATCACGTTGTACTATATCGACAAAATGGCGCTGGTGTTACACGGAGTAACAGTTGTACGGTTTTGTTCGTCTCTGGCCTAAGCAGGATACATTTCGTATTCCTATTACATAACATCGGTATAAAATGCACGTTAGAGAGGGAGGTTAACGCTGGTGCACCGTTGAAAGCAAGATGTCGCGACATTCAACGAAATTATTTTAAATAGAGGCTTACATCAACACTGTTTGCTTGAAACTGCCAGCGACTACGGGACCCTGAGCAAACAACCCTGAGCGCAGGTACGCTTATGTTCCAGGTCATCCACTCTCTCCCTCTTTACCTTCTCCCGTTACACGGTAACTACAGTCTCCATAATTTTTTTAGTTCATCGCAGACTTAATATTTACCTCACCCTCTCGACCCGTTTAGTCCAGTCCCCGATTTATGTTCGACATCGTGTTTGCGTGTAGAGACAGCTCCGAACGCGGTGAGTCGTGTCGCTGACAGTGGCGTAACTGGGCTGAGATCAAATTAGAACAAAGTGCTATCTTCCAGAAAAGAATAATTAACAAAATTTTCAAAACAATCCTGATTAGACGGCGCGATGAAATTTTCTTTATCAGAAATCTTTCATATTCTGAATGTAAATATTCTCAGAGGCCTTTTAATCATTTTTACGTATCAAGAGGGAGCATTGCTCGTCCAACATCATCGCTACGAGCTTCTACACGATATCCGACTATCGTATTTGTTAAAAAATCGAGTGCTCTTCGAAAATTCGGCCGCTTGCGTGTTCGACACGCGCCGCACACCCTCGGTCGCGTCGTCGGGCGATTACAAAATCGGAAAACTCGTCGATGGTGTTTTTGCGTTTGCAGACATTAGCCAGGCAGCCGCGTAACACGCGTTAACGTCTCACTCGACCGCGCTGGGTACACACAAGCGGTCCCATTAACATAGCCAAAGTTTGCTCACGAGGAGGCCACCAGCGACACGTCGAGAATTCGCTGACGACATCGCGCTCGCATCCCTTCAACCAGATTTGATGTTTTAATCGTCACTCGATCTCTCGTATCCCGCCGCGTTTACACCGTCCCGATTGCATGGCCAGCTGAGACAGGCTCCAAAGTTTCTATTACGCTGCATCAAGCGAGTTGTCGACTTGGCTGGTCATGGCGACACGCCAGAGTCGATTGTTTGTAGAATTTGTCGACTCTGATGGCGACGAAATTGGCCGAGAGTCATTCATAGGTGTTTGAGAACCATGCTACTCATAGGTAGCATCGAGGAAGATGTTTGAAGGCGTCGCAGTATCGTTTGAAAAACCGATGTCGAATGTTCGATTGCGGTACATATCGAAAGACGTCATGGCAATTTTCCTACGATCGTACGATAAGATGGTTGTCTGATATTTACCCGTGCAATTTACATTTCAACGTGATTAGCTCTCGCCGGGTGGATATGTCTCGGGCAAAGATTGAATAACTCGCATTTAACTTACACGTAACCTACGCTTAATCTATGCCAGCGACTCGATTGTTTCCGATCAGCGAAACAATAAACGCCTCTGTAGCACCGATCGATCCCGATAATCGCTGCCAACGCATGGCAGCTGCGAAAGAACCACACCCAAACGCGACCCCCGGACTTTCCAGCAGCTTGAAAAGGCAGAGCAACTGCCGAGTCGAGGCATCCTCTCCCCCCTTCACAAAGAAGGTAAACCGAAAATCAGGCCCGTACATAATACCAGGGGGTCCTCATTAATTCCATATCAAACAGCACGGCTAAATAGATTAGCGGGTTGAGTGGCTTTCGCGCCCCCGGGGCCTAAACAAACCCCCGACGATCGTCCCCACAGGGTCGTGCGAGTCTCCCAACCATCAATCCGTCCCGCATCCATCCATCCATCTATCCATCCGTCTACCGCCTCGTTTCGATGGCCCCCGGAACACATTGTCGAAAGCCAGCCGCGCGCATTGTGTCGGGACGAAAAACGTGACCCACCGCGCATTATGGCATCGAGAGCCAGCGTTAATGCGTGTCCCGAATCCGCCACTTCCAGCTCCAACTGCTGCTGGATGACGATGGACACCCGTTATAACCGCGGGTTGCTCGACCGTTGGTTGGATCCAGAGGGAGAGAGATGCTGTGTCTCGATCGACGATAAAATTCGATACTGCGCTCGCGTCGCCCTTCGATCCTCGGCTCGGTAATGCGCGCGCGAGGATGTGTAAGCTATCGCGGCTTACACGACTGATATTTTAATCACGACCGCGGCGTTGGTCGCCGCGATCGATCGAACAGAGTTTGTCGACAGGTTCGGTTATGGGTCGATCGACCGATCCCCCCGAGGTTCGGGCCGCTAGAAGTCGAGAATTCCTTGTCACGAAGGTCGGCACTCGTAGGCAGGGCTTTATCGAAGCTAGAATTCTTCTAGTGGATGTCTGGACATCTGGAGGACGTTGGGAAGATTCACAGAAAGAGGTTTATAGCTGTGATAGTTCGTATTCTCCAGGCACACTAGGTTCCCATCCAACGATCAACATTGCTCCAAAACACAAAATGGAGCAGCCTTGTAGAAACTCTCGTGTATCCCAGCCAACGATCGGTATCTATCCACGCTGCTTGCAAAGTGGAATAGAAGTTTCTAATGTCGTTTTTCTTCCCCGAAAGAGGCGCGAATTCCCAAAAAACCTCGATCGACGAACACCATCTCGAACACGAGGCGATTCCCAGCGGCAAGATTCAATGCCTCTGAGCAACACCGGGTGGGAGAGGAAGCGGTCGAAGAGCAACAACGACGCGGCAGATATACTGTGGCCGGCGGGCGTTCTCACCGGGAATCGTAAGATTCCACGGGTTCGCGAGAAAAGCAGAGGACGGGAGGCAAGAATGCGCTTCGGGGCTCAGGATCGGGCAAGGGGTTAAACGACGAAGCGTGTTGGCGAGTGTCCGCGGCCACGGGGGCCATAATTCAGTCCTAGGGGTCCAGGGAAGAAGCAGCCTGCGAGGTCCCTGAGTTACTCCACGCGATCCCATCGAGGTGTGCTGCGCACGCCTGGTTCGCAACCGTGCAAACTGCGAACGGACCTGGTCGGCAACTATATCACCCCGGCCCCGTGCCCGCTGCTCCCGTCGTCGCCTTTAAAGTAGCGTTTCAGAGGCGTCGTGCAGCCCCGCCAAACACCAGCCTCTTGCGTTGGTAGCAAGGCGAGAGATAATTATTCGTGCGCCGGGGGATCGATATATCGAAGCATTAGCCCGATACGTTGGCTCGTTTGTTCCCGCGTGCATGCTAATTGCCAGCGCCGCGATTTCACCTCAGAGGTGCGAGCAACCTGGCTGAAAACGGGAGTCAGCCCGTCGTCACGTACCGACGGACGCCTTACGATACGATTACTGCTTCTGCGAACTGCAGGGAATATCAAGCTGTACGTATCGGGAAGGTAGTACACGTTTTGAGAAGCCTTAACCGAGCTTCGTTCGACTGTTTCGATTTCTGGAGAGGAACTTATCGAAATTATTTGAGCTATGGTATAGAGCATGGATGGCCACCCGCGATCCGCGAGATTCATCACACTTTTACAAAATATATTTATTTTATAATGGCCAAAGTAGTGAAAACCAATGTATTAAAGAAGTACATTAATTTTGCATCCATATATTCATAAACTAACTGTCGAAATTATGAGAAAAAATTAACTTTGATTTTAAGTGAAAATCCTTGTTGCCCATATGTGGATTACGTGGCGGCCAATGTGTTAATAATGCGAATGTGAACTTACAGTTTCTGTATATACATACTTTGTCATTTCACGCAAGATTTATTCTGGTTTTACTCAAATATTCGAATGCCCATAACAACGCGAGAATATGCCTGTCCAATTTGAACCACGCGGTTGTAGACGGCGAGTAAGCTATTGCGCACCTAGATCACGCATCACGCGCCGCTGAGCATGCTCACGTGGGAAGTCCATCGCGTGGCTCCTTTCCCTTCCCGTGTCACATCTGAGAGAGAGAGAAAGGTTTCAGTTTGGAGCAGAGCGCTGAGTTGGACGGAGATACCTACACCGTCGAGAGGCGAGGATTCGAAGTGAACGGAGCAGGGTAGCTAGCGCAGAGCTTGGCTTGGACATGCATGACATAAAGTGTAACACGCATACAAACGTACACGTAAGTTAACTAGTAAATGGAAATTTACATACTATTCTAACGATTTCTAATGCGATACAATGTTTTTGTATATTAGTCTTTCACTTAATCTTCAAAATTCTATTTTCGTTTTAAATCGAATTCACGATGAGAACCAAAGATGGAGCACCTTAAACAGTAC